CTCCAAAAGCTAAAGATGATACCGTGTCATTAACTGAAACAGTAAAGGGGTATTCTTCGGCTATTAAAGCAGAGGAAATTTCAGACATTGCTAACGCCAATATTCTCAATCATGAGATGGCCGAACACCTAGAAAACAAGCCAAGGAAGACTTTAGAAGAAATGTATGCGTTAAACCGGTACCATATTGCAGATTGTTATGGAGTATCACCTGAATCTATAACTGAAGAATTTATTACAGATTATGGTAAATATGATCATATGAAATGGTTTAGAAATCTCCGAAAACTACGAGACGCTGGTACTGATAACAAAACAGCAGTTGAGGCCGTCACCCGTGAAGATTATAGGAATGATAGGCTTACAACTGTTACCCAAGCTGAGAAGCATCGAATCTGTCTGGAATTAATAAAGACTTGCACACCTGTTAGAGATATCGACGATAGAAACAAATACAAAGCGGATGATGTTAAAACGCGTCTAGAATCACCTGAATCTATAAAATATCTCCAAGAATTGGTTCCTAAAATGTCACGAGTTTTTGATAATACAGATGCATCTCGCAGTGCTAAAAAATCTGGTTTAAAGTCTCTTAAATCAAAACTTGGTCTATTAAATTCAGTGATCTCTATGACTTATGGATTGAAATTCAAGGCTACAGATAGACATCTTAGGTACTACTGTCTGGTTGGGGCATTTGATAGTGAAGACGCCCCCGAATTACCAGCATATCAAACAATTGAAGGGCTCTTTTATGAAAATGGCGAAGATATACGATATGGGTATAGTAAACTCTCACCCGATGAATTAGAAACCCCTTCCGATTCTATCACACAAGATATTCAGGACCTATTTGATATCTGTTAAAATCATTATTTATTCGATGAGGATCCATTATATATCTTACAAAGGGGGTTTTTGTGATGCATAAAAAAAACGCAATTGGAAAAATTTGACCCACGGCTATATTATATCACAGAAGGGGTTTTTGTGTCGCCTAAAATGAGATATACTAAAAATTTTATCTATTAATAGGCATTTCTTCGAATCATGGCTTTTAGAGCCTACTCAGAAACTTGGAAAATAAGCCCTTTTTGTCTCATCCGATAATTCAATGAATGAAATCGACCAGAATGTTTTGGGCAATACCCCGTAATAGATATAGTAGGTTTTCCACAAATACCGCAAGGAAATTTCTCTATATTTTTCTCATGTAAACTCCAATGTCTGTAACAACCCGTAGGTCGCCAGCATTTATTTCCGCAGATGGATCCATCTCTTTTAATGTGAGGGCAGATAGCGCGATCCATGAAAGTATTCTAGGATGTAATATATAATATATGTATAAGATTCAAATATAAATATTAATTTAAATATTTCGAATTTATAATGAGATAAAATAACTTTACATACTGATACTACATATACCACGCTAAAAAAATGTATAAATTATACACTAAAGAGCCGGAATATACTAAAGAAACGATTACTGCTGAGCAATTATCCAAATTGACTAATCGTTGGAGAAAGCCAAAAATCTATAACCCCAAAACAAATTGCATGATTACAATCAATGGACCAACATATAATAAATTGATACGTGATGGATATATGCTTTGGGAAGAAGAAAGACTATTAATCCCTCCAATTCGTGAGGAATAAACATTAGAAAAATAAATCGATTAATATAGCCTGGATCGCAACTCCAAAGCTATATGCACTACGTACATGCGAAGCAAATTTTTTTCGTTATATTCTATGTAATAGTAAATTTCAAATCGACAGATCTGATCCAAGGTATTGACGTGTATCATGTACCTGACATAGATCGATTATTTTCTCGAGAACCTCTTTGAGCAATGCTATGTCTTCTTTGACCCCATTGATATTCTCATTAATTTTATTACGTAAAGCTATGGATTCTAAAACCTTCGATCTATTCCGTACCTTACTCGTATCCATTTTCTGGTATAATTACATTAACCACGACCCATTCAATTTTTGGTATAGCTATACTAATCCACGGATAATTAATTTCGATTTGAAATAATAAGTAGGATAATATATGATCGCAATCTACTTATCGATATATATATTATTTACATACCTATCATGGCAACTGCTCGAAAAACCCGAAACCCCAAAACTAATAGCTTTACCTCTATTTTGGATCAGATCATGAAAAAATATAACCTATCTGCAGAATCTGACCCATCCCAATTACGTGCTCACGCCAATGAGCTTGGTACTATGCTACCAGATTGGAAAGCTCGTAAAGATGTAAAAGAGGCTCTTCGTCGACGCCTATTCAAGGGGAATCAAATAGAAGCTCTTGTGCCAGACTTATACCATATTGGAGGGTTTGATTCATTAGGTTCATAATGGATAATTCGGAGAGTAGTCACTTCAGCAG